AATGAACGTTTAAGGAAAACGGGGGTGGGGTGTCTGGGGAAGGGAAGAGGAATATACAACTGCTGTTCAAGTCCCTGTCAGAAAAAAGACAGAAGTACCATGCCAGGGAGCAGAAGGGGATGGTGACGAGGGAAGACAAGGAGACCCAGCTCTGCCCCAGAAACTCTGAGCAAGAAGACATAATGCCCTCCCTCCATGGGGACACAGGACGCTCCAGAGGCTCTGGGCAGCCACTGCGGCCAGCAGACATGAAGAACAGCTGGGGACCAGAGAGTACCTGCTGCAGGACCCCATGCCACACACGCCCCAGGCGACAGACCCAGACCTCATGCCACACATGCCCCAGGTGAGGAGACAGACCCAGACCTTACACCACACACGCCCCAGGTGACAGACCCAGACTTTGTACCACACACGGCCCAGGTAACAGACCCAGGTGAACCAGACCTGGGCCCCACCACAGCCCTGGGCTCGGATCTGAGGGCCAAGAGTGGGAAGGGCAGTTTCTCAACTAGGATGTAGGAGATATCAACTGTGGAAAGAACTGGAAATGCCGAATAGAAAGGCGACAGGTCACTCTTGTTGTTAGCTGCCAGCTAATCACATCCACCACTGCCCCTGAGAACCGCCCCCGGCCCAGAGACTCCAACATGGCCAAACCATCTGACGGGACACCCAGACAGTCGGCCCTCCCTGCTCCTCTTGCCTGAGCAGGGGCACCTTTCTGGTTTTGTTTTTCAGGGGGAAGATGTTTGTTTGAAGTAGTCAGCACCACATTGCTAATATGATTACTTCTGGATAATTCTTTTTTTCACTTTTCTGCTTGTATGGTTTAAATTCTGCTTTTAGGCCCACTCTAACAGTGGCAATATTGCCTCAATGCTGTAACAAATTACTCTCTGCTCACTGTGCTACAGAACTGAGGAAGCGCGGACATGGCAATGACCGCCAAGAGCTAGCCTAATAATCACCTAAGGTCAGCTGATAACAGGGCGGAGGACGTCAGAGAGGAACCTGTGCCTTACTGACCGTGGAAAGGAGCCCCGTGCTTTAGTAATTAAGGAGATCATCATCACAACTAACTGTGGAAGGCGTGGTGATGAATCAGAGTTCCAGAACACTTAACTGTCTTCATGCAGAATTTATATAGAGACCAAGAAGCAGCCATTCAAACAGAACCAGGGGATAATTGTTACGTGCCGTCAAATCCCCTGCAACTCAGAGCGACCAACCCTATTTACAAGAACCCTACACCCTGTTCTATCCTGTGCAAACCTTACTGTCTCTGACACACCTTCACTGAATCAATCCATCTCATCGAGGGTCTTCCTCTCCTGCACTGTCCCTCCACCCTCCAAAACATGACGTCCCTCTCCAAGGACTTGTCCCTCCTTGCAACATGCCCAAAGTATGTCAGACGAAGCTTCAGAATCCTTGCCTCCAAAGAGCAGCCAGGCTTCACTCTCTCCAGGATGAATCTGTTCATTTTCTTAGCAGTCCATGGTATATTCAACACTATTCTCCAGCACCACAGCTCAAAGGCATCAATTCCTTTCTATCAACAGGAGGGACTGACAGTGTCCATAACAGGAGGGACCCACAATGTCCACAACAGGATGGACAGACAGTCTCCACAACAAGAAGGCTTCACAATGTCCAACAATGGGCTCAAACAGCAAGGCCTGTGGGGAGGGAACAGGACTGGGCAGTGTTTCCTTCTGCTCCACACAGAGTCGCTATGGGGCACCAGACAACAGACGTTTGTCTGGGACTTCCTTTCGGAATCGTGCCTCAGGAGAACGGACAGTTGGCGAGAGACGTTGTCATGTATAAAACCACCGTAGAAAATAAATGAAGAAGTGACAGGACTGAATCATCACCATCTAAGACTCTGGATGAGTTAAGGAGTTAGGCAACAATCTTTAGCAGCTGTCGACATAACCAACGGAGAGACGATGGGACACTGTCCTCATGCTGGCGAAGCCCTCACCTCTGCAAAGACTGGCCGTGCGCCTCACCCGACTACCAACATCCAGGCAACAGGCCAGAGGAACATCACAGGGCGTGATGAGGTACAGATGATAAATCCACACCAGAAGGAACACTAAGCATACATATCCCAGCTGCTTCTTAAAAAAAGGTCAAGGGGAAACAGACAAGAGCTGGAGGAGGGGTTTCATTCAACTTGGACTCACTAGCAACATGCATGGAAACTGAAATGAAGACATCAAAAGACAGGTTGCACTGAGAAAATCTTCTGTCCAGGACCTCCTTAGCATTCTCAAAGAAAAGGATTATCAGTTTAAAAACCAAGATGTGCCTGACCCCTGCTGTGCTACTTTCAAGCACTTCATATGACTGTAAAAGTTGGACAATGAATGAAGATCACTGAGAAAAGGAAGAACAAAAAATACTTGAGAATTGTTTTAACCAATCACAGTCAGAGACCTCATTTGGGTCTTAATTAAAGCAACTTGTAAACTATGGTTGTTAGGTGCCATCGAGTTGACCATAACTCGGGGTGACCCTATGAACCCCGGATCTGACCCCTGCCCTGTCCTGTGCTGTCTGTACCTTTTCTGACACACTTGAGCCCACTGCCCCCGCCCCACTACAGTCATTGTGTCAATCCATCTTGTCAGAGTTCTCCTTTTGAAACAGTAATCTTAAATCATTTCTAAGATAACCAGGATCATGTGAACCAGGACTGGCTACAGGATGATATTAAGGAGCAACTGCTAATTTTATTTAGAGGAAATTATAAATGATCACAGAGTTTTTAAAAAATAATCCTACCTTCAGAAAGAAACAGAAATGCTCACAGATGACATAACACGGTTCTGGAATCAGAGTCAAAATAACTGAGGGGAGAAGAGTGGGTGAGATGAGCCAGCAGCAGGAAGGGCCTCCCCAGGACCAAGAAGAACCAGTGAAGGAGTAAGTCTAGAACAGAAGGCAGGGCCATGAGGCCAGGCTGGCCTAGGCACAGAGCCTGAGGAAGGGTGCAAACCCAGAGCAACCATGGGCCAGTGCTAGGGCAGCGTTTCTTCTGACGAGAATCATCAGTGGAGGGAAGGACAGGCGGGAAGGGGACCTGTCCGCAGCATCACGGTCCTCTCTCACAAGACACAGAATTACAAAGGGACAAGCAGTAACAGCCCAGGGAGGGAGCTGGCCACCACACCTCACCCTGTTAGCAGTTACATCACAAGGAACGGGACAAGACAGCATCGGGGCCTCCCGACAGGACACACTGGCAGCAGAGTGACAGCAGTTTAGGGATTTCCGCTAAAAACATGCATCATTTGCATTAAATCACACAGAAACAGCAGGGAAAAACCAAGGGGCTTGTCCAAGGATGACGGGCGAGTGAGCCCCACCCACGAGCTGCCGTGGAGTCACCGGCCTCACACAGCCGCATGTGTCAGAGCGGAGCTGCTCTGCACGTTGACTCTACTGTAGAAGCAGGTCACCAGGTCTTTCTTCCAGGTGTCTCTGGGTAACCTTGGGCCTCTGTCCTTTCGGTCAGCAGCTTCATGCTTCAACACTTGCATCACCACTGGCTGTTACTCTTACAAGAAGACTGGGGGACCATTCCAGAGAGGACTGGGGGACCACTCCAGAGGGAAGCACTGGGGGGACATGACTAACACAGAGAAGGACGTGAGTGGGATGGTGAATGAAGTCTCTTGATTCGTTCAGAGCACTGCATCAATGTTGCTTCCTGATTCGAGTCCTTCTCTGGAATTATGTGTAAGGTAACATTTCATCTCACTCCCTTTGCGCATATTTTTAGGAGGAAACTTTCCTGGGAAAGGGATATCATGTGAGGAAAGGGAGAGGGTCAGCAAACGAGTGGACGCCCCTCAGTGAGATGGACTCACACAGAGAAGGCCACACTGACTTGAGCAGGACGGAAGGACGGATCCTGAGGACAGCGCAGCGCGGGGCGAGGTCCAGATCATAGTCAGAGTCAGTGGCGTCTAACAACAGAAACGTACCATTTGAGGAAGCTTGGTGCGTGGAAATCTCTGTACTATCTTCTATAATTTTTTAACATGATTTAAGTTTAGGGGAGCTCTGGTGGCTTAGTGGCAAGAAGCTGCACTGCAATCCCAGAAGTGTGCGGTTCAAATCCACCAGATGCTCTGCTGGAGAAGGAGGGGTAATCTCCTCCTGTACCAGTCAGATCTGATTTGAGGGTACACACACACACACAAATAATAAAAAATAAAATTTACAAAAAATATGATTTAAGTTTACAAAACTAGGTGGTTTTCCCTGTAGTCATTCGTAGTCATTTTATTTTATGACAGTAGTTACAATGCTCACGCTCAACTATTCCCACTCTTCCCGCTCCCTCCCTGTGATTCTAACTTCCGTTAATCCTCCTCACCTACTCCTTACTGCCTTCTCTCTGTCCCTGGCCAAATGATGCCCTCTGGATGGGTGATTGTTTCAAGAAGTGAGTGCCTCCCTGCTTAGCCACCAAACTGGTTAGTGACCAATCACTTTAATCAGTGCACCACTCAAAGCCCAAACCCAATGTTACCAAGTTGGTTCTGATGTGCTGGGACCCTCCAGCAGGATTCTGAGGCTACAAACATTTATGGCTAGAAATTTTCTATCTTTCTCCAAAGAGCAGCTGGTGGATTCAAACAGCTGGCCTCTCAGTTAAATACACGACACACGACACCACCAGGGCTCCTTTATCACATCCACAGACTTGCACATCCTCTATTTCCAGTGAAGGAGCAAAAAAGTAACTCAGAAAAAGCCAAAGTTATTTCCACCTCTGCCTTTTATAAATTATTTCATGAATGAAACACATAGGTGGCCCTATTTGCTGTCTTTCCCCCCCTTTTCAGACAAATCAGCTTTCACAAGAGGTCTGAGCAGAGAGCCTGCAAGCCCTCTTCAAGCACCAGAACCCTCAGCCCCAGCGCTGTGGGCTTCCTGGCTCACCCCTGCTTGTGCCCACCACCCACAGCGGCCCGTACCTGGTGCGCTTCCACACCCAGCTCCTGCAGGGCCAGTTTGAAGTACTCAGGAGACGGCTTCCCCACCACTTCTGCTTCGATGCCACAGGCGTACTGGGGACAGAGAAGGACAGGTGTGGGTCTGGGGCTGTGGTGTAGGAACACCCCCTTTCTGGGTGAAGGAAGCAAACCAAAGTCTTCTGTGGTCAAAGTGACAGCAACTCAGTAACACCACGTGTTACAGAGCAGAAGTGCAGCCCAGGCTATTCTGGCTACTGAAGGATGCTTTGGGTGATGAAGACTGACTATTCCATGGACGGCCAGAAGGGGTACAGTCACAGAGCTCCTGGGAGTGAGGGGCTAGACGTCTTCCCAGGTCCTCTGGCCTGTTCTCAAGAGGGACCAGTCCCTGGAGAAGGACATCATGCTCGGCAAATAGAGTCGTCGGAAAAGAGGAAGACCCTCCCCCAGATGGACTGACGGCGTGGCTACCACCACGGGCCCAGCCCAGGAGTGACCGTGAGTTGGGGCAGGATGGGTGGCGGTCACTGTTGTGCACGTGGGTCCACGTGAGTCAGGACAGACTCGATGGCATCTCAGAGCAGCGATCTTGATGGAAGCACAGGCCGGGGATGCGTCGGGGCAAAGCTAATGGGCCCCAGACTATGCTCTGACATTGTCCCCCCACCCCACCAAGACAGGCTCTGCCCTGCCCGCCCTCCAGCTCCATCACTAGGAAGTGTCCTGGGCACCACTGCCCTTCAGGCCCTGGCCCCACGAGGGAAATCGTGCAGCAGTGTAGACGGGAGTGGGCATGAGACTAGCCTGGGCAGAAGCCCTGGTCGGGGGAGGCGACGGGACAGACATGGGCAGGAGACCACTGTGGAAAGTGAAGGTGGATCGAGAAGCCATTCAGGGAGGTTGGGTCCAGCCTGAGAGTCTGTGACGAGCAGGAAAGGTAATGACCACAGACATGGAATTCTTGGTGGACAAGGGGGGAAGGGGGCAGAGAGGAGCCCGTCCGGAGAAGAGGAAGCTCCCGCTCATGTACCAGAGAGAACGCCTTCCTTTGGGTCCCTGAGAGTCACTCTGTGACCTGTAAGACTGGAAATGCCCAGGAGGCACCAGAAGGTCTGCATACGTCAGACCACCCCGGGGCACCACTTACCTCCAGGGCCTTCATGTAGGGGCCAATGTCCAGCATCAGGCCCGAGGTCTCCTTGTAGTAGCGTCTAGAAAGAGAAGGAAGGGACAAGACTGGCATGAGCCTCGGGCCTGTCACAAGTCGAAACACAGGTAGTGGCATCAGGGGACTCAGCTGCGTCACCAAAAGGGGTCAGTCCAGGCACCAAGCTGACAACAACCCCTGATGGTCAGCACACGGAGCTTAGCAAGTGGCCACCCTGCTGGGCAGAGAGGGGCACACCTGCCTGCAGCCAGCCCCTGGGGAACCTACCACGGTGACTAGCGGGGGCCAGTGAGACAGATGTTAGCAGGCGCTAACACAGAGGGAGGTGCGTGTTCTGGGTCCTGGGAAGGTGCAGCAGCCCAAAAAGCACACGGTTCACCGCGATCACTAATCATTAACCCCCAACTACTGCCAGCAGAAGAAAGTTCCATTAGTTCCACAGCGCCCTGCCCGGTGTGGAGCCAGCCTCGGGAGGACCAGGTGTTTGTAGGAAAAGACGCTGCCTTCTCCTCACCGTTTGGGAAGCTGGAGGAGCTCAGAGCACAGTGGGGACACCCCCCCCCCCCGGGACACGGTCACTTCTGTGGATGCTGCGCCACTGCCTGCTGGTCTGCCCTGGACATGTGTCTGAAACCCCGTGGACACAGCTCAGCTCGGACATACATGGGGCCATGGAGAGACCCATCGGGCTGGGCTGGTTTTGTATCCACAATGCTGGTACCAAATCCATCTATTATTGTTCACCTAATAATAATAATAATATAATAATAATAATAATTGTTATTATAATAATAATTGTTATTATTATTACTATTATTCGTAGTAGTAGTAGTAGTAGTATTGCTACTATTATTATTATTACTACTCATAGTGACTCATAGGGTCGCTATGAGTTGCAACAGACTCAACGGCACATAACAACTACTACTACTACTACTACTACTACTACTACTACTACCACTACTACTACTACTACTATTACTACTACCACTACTACTACTACCACTACTACCACTACCACTACCACTACTACCACTACTACTACTACTACCACTACTACTACTACCACCACTACTACTACCACTACCACCACTACTACTACCACTACTACCACTACTACTACTACCACCACTACTACTACCACTACCACTACTACTACTACTACTACCACTACTATTATTATTATTATTATTATTATTATTATTATTCTACCATCATTTCTACGTGATACACAGACATCTCCAGGGCGGGCTTTCCATCATGGGGACATACTGTGACTCTCCCATCACCCCCACTGATACACACAGGTTACTTCTGATTTCCCATCACAGGCGATGTGGGAAACAGCTCCATGCCTGGAAAGTCCTTGGTCATTCACAAGTGCATCTTTTTGAGGACCTTGATCTATACTTCTGGGAAAGCAGGGTGGGTTTATGTTATCAGCCGAAACAACATTAGCATCTTAGAATTCCGGATGCTGGGAGCCTCTGATGGGCCTTTCTCAGTGTTGCTGGCCTGGCTGGAGGCCTGGGGTCACCTCCGTGGAAGTGCTGTCCAGCTCCGATGCTGCTGGTGATAGGAGTCACAGCCTCTGTCCCCTGAGCATGGCCAGCTGTGTGAGGAGCCCAGGGGGACTTTAGATCTGACCACTGGCCATCGCCAAGCACTTTATATACAGTGCAGCCTCATTTTAGCAAAGTTCACAGATGATGGTTTTTGCTGTTGTTGTTGTCAGGTGTCGTCAAGTATGACTCACGGCGACCCTGTGAACAACAGATCTGAACACTGTGTTATCCGGTGTCGTTCTCTTCATCTCTGACACACTTGAGTCCACTGCCTCAGACACTGTGTCAATCCATCTCGCTGGGGGTCTTTCTTTCACTGACCCCCCACCTTTCCAAGCATGATGTCCCACAATCTGAAGGCTTGTAGCAAATGTGTGTTGAACGAATCTACCAGCACCACCTTCCCAACCGCATGTGTTCACTCATGTCTGTGTCATGTCTTGATTATCCTCACAGTAATTCACACCTTTCCATCATGCTGTTGCACACTTAACAGGCGAGAGTACAAGGTAGCTGTGACTTGTATATGCACTGGGAAGTAAAACACCTCCCTGGGCTCCTTTTATGGGGATGTTTGCTTTTTTTGCGCGGGTTGAACTGAGCCCACGCTGCCTCAGAGGCTGGCCTGTGCTGCTGGCTCGGCTCTGACTCACACGCTGTGCTTCTCTGCCGGGAACTAAAGCTCAAGGAAGCACAGGAAACCGTGGGCCCCACTTGTAAGAGCCTGACAGGGCTGAGCCTGCCCTGTCCCCTCTATCTTATATTCCAGAGCAGGTGGTCGATTCACACCTGATCTTAAATGATTTTCTATGCCCGAGCTGAAAAATTGAAAGATTTTACACAAAGTTCCAGATTCCTGGATTCTTCTGGAAAACCAGCACATCTATCTGACAGTTCTGTGCCCCAGCTTCTCGCTGGCAAAGCAACTTAGTGTTGCTGTTCCCGGCAGCTTGAGTTCACCGCAGACCCCACCACCCGCTACAGTCCCCTTTCCTAAGCTTCAGGATCAGGTGCCCTCTAATCCTCATTAGGCTGTTTTTCTCATGAGAGAGAAAGATTTCTCTGTAGCTCTGTCTGTAAAAAAGTGGCCAAACCAAAAGGTTTCAAGGAAAAGGAAAAGGGATGTGTTTGTTTAAGACGTAAAAATATTTTAGTGTTTGTCATGTATGTAAACCGTGTCTCCCTGCACAAGAGAGTGAGGCACACCCCACCTGTGTCTGCCCATGATGCAGTCTGCTGTGACTGATGAGGTTTCAACTGCCTGTATGTTTGGAAGTAGATCGCCAGGCCATTCTTTCTAGTCTTAGTCTAGAAGCAGCGTTGATGGCCTGCAAGCCTCTGGGGGATGACTGGTGGTCGTTCAAAAGTAATGAACACGAATCCACAACTGTGGCAGGAAAGAGAATCCTACCACCAAGGCCCCAGGCAGCTCCAGTCACATGGTAACACTGTGGAGGGCAGGAGCCTTTAGGGAGGCCGCCGGGCTGACAGTGCTCAGCTGGGCTGGTCTGAGTGTCCAGAAATTAAGGAATGTGGTGGTTTGAGGAACTAGCTGCCAGATTCCAGGGAGACGCAGGGAGAATTTCCAAGGAGGTGCGGTGGAGAGGTTCCTGATGGTGAGGCCCACCTGGACAGAGCCGGGCAGCCTGGACAGAGCCGGGCAGCCTGGACAGAGCCGGGCGACCTGGACAGAGCTGGGCGAACTGGACAGAGCAGGGCAGCCTGGACAGAGCTGGGCAGAGCTGGGTGACCTGGACAGAGCCGGGCAGCCTGCACAGAGCCGGGCAGCCTGGACAGAGCCGGGCGACCTGGACAGCCGGGCGAACTGGACAGAGCAGGGCAGCCTGGACAGAGCCGGGCAGAGCCGGGCGACCTGGACAGAGCCGGGCGACCTGGACAGCCGGGCGAACTGGACAGAGCAGGGCAGCCTGGACAGAGCCGGGCAAAGCTGGGCGACCTGGACAGAGCCGGGCAGCCTGCACAGAGCCGGGCAGCCTGGACAGAGCCAGGCAAGGTGCCGCCAGGGAGGCGGGAGCAGTCAGTCCCAGGCAGTGTCCTCGTCCTGGAAACGGAGTGATTTACATTTGGCATCTGTTGGGACCAGAGTGTGGGAATTGGCTTTGTAATTTCTTCTGTCATGCCGCCGTCAGAAAATTAAGCTGTTTACGCTGCGGACTCTGGAAGGTTAATGGTTCTTCTGGGAAAGGTCAAGTGGTCATTTTGAAGGGAGGCTGTGCTGAATAATCGGTGGGAGAATAGGGCTCAGAATCGCATCTGATGCTCCTCCCAGCGGCCCCGCACCCGCGGCTCCTGCCTGGCGCTGGGACTCCTGTGTCATCCCAGTAGCACAAGGTAAAGATGCCAAATCTCACGTGTTTTGAGAACAGTACCTTGATTTTTTTTAAATTTAAATCTACCTTTGAACACATTCTCAGCTAACAGCTGGCCTCAAGAGGCATTATCTTCCCGAACTAGGAATAAAAATTCTCGACCTTACAGACACGAGCCCAGATTCAGCTCAGGAAGGAAAACATTCACATTTTTCATGATGACTTGGGTGAGGGAGGTTCCTCTCTCACAAAAATGGCAGCATCAGAGACTCCGCTTTGATCTGGCATTTTGTTGTTGTTGTTGTTTTTCTCGTTTTTCTTTTGTTTCCCATCCAGGGCTAACCCTATGAAGCCCTGGTCCTCTTCTCCCTAGAAGATGTGGGGGTCCCCTTCTCCCTAAGAGGAAGATGTGGGGCTCAGATAAGCAAGAGTTATGCCTTGGGGGTCCTGGCAGGACCAGCTGCTGTCAGGTCGGCTCCATCTCTCAGTGACCCACGTGTCAGAGGTGAACGTCCTCCGGAGCACGCCCAGTGGCTGGCTTTTCAGAAGGTCACCAGGCTTTTCTTCTGAGGCACCTCTGGTTGGATTAGAACATCCAACCTTCCAGTCAGCCATGAGCATTAACTTATCACACCACCAGGGCTCTGCTGTGAACAGATAGTGTGAGCATCTAACTGCCCAGAAACCATTCAGAAGGACACACCACACTGTCGACTGCCGTCTTCTCTAAGTGGGGAGTGGACTGATGAACACCGTGTCTTACTTCTGCTTTCTCATTTTTCTTCATTGAACACTGGTGGTAAGAAGAGTAGCCAATGCTGTTTCTCTAAAGAGAGAGACAGTGTGGGAAGGTGATAAGAGCTCCAATAAAAATGTTGATCACAAAATCACCGTGTGAACAGAACCCAGATTGGGCACCTCGCACGCCCTCCACCAAGCCAGGCACCCCACACGTCCTCAGCCGGACACACCTGGCACCCAGACCAGGTCACCCCGTACACCTTCAGGCCAGTTCTTGCCAACTGTCCTCTGGGAAAAATCTCCAACACCCTGTGCTACTAATACTTTCATACCTAAAAACCAAAACAAAAGAAAACCGCCAAAGGCTAATGCCTCCCCAAAAGCAAGGCCTCCTCGGCAGATACAAACAGACCTTCTATGTCTTTGCTCCTAACTCACGAGGCAAGGGGAGCCCGGTGGCTTAGTCATAAGGAGTTGTGCTGCCAACCCAAAAGAAGGTCACTCGAATCTACCAGCTGTTCTGCGGGAGAAGGATGAGCGGTCTTCTCACGCGGGGTGTACCGTCTCCGAAAACCCACTGAGGGGACAGCTATGAGTCAGCTCTTACTCAACAGGACGTAACGATAACAACAAACTCAGGAGAACATTACTTGACCTCTGGGGTCCCAAGGAGTCTGTCTGCAAAGATCCCCAGGTCTCCTGGCCGAGGGCCAAACTAGCTTGACCAAGCAGTGGCCTAAAAAAATCCTTACAATAAAAAAGAGCGGAGGGTGAGAGGGCTGAGGAAGCCCATGCTCCTCCGCCTCTGGACTCTATCTGAGCACCCCAAGTCTTCCCCAAGTGCCCCAGGTCTCCCTGGTCCACACTCACCCTTTGCCGAGGGCTATGAGCACAGGCCTCTCCAGCCCCATGAGTACCCGGAAAGCTTTATTCATGTTCTCGAAGGTAAAGCCTTCGGCGGCGTCTGCCATGACCACACAGTTGGGGTTAGACGTGTCGATCTGATGGAACTCTGAGCGGAGCCCTGGAAAGAGAGAGCCCGCCATCGAGTATCAGGGTGATGTGGCTTCCCTGTCTCCCCTAGGGTCACCTCCTGCCCCTCGTGTCCAGCCCACAGCCCTCCGCAGGTCCACCACCTCCTTCCCACCTTCACATCCTCAATGGGAGGGACGATGGCAGGCTGCTACACCCGAGCCAACAGCGGTCAGAGAGAGGTGGCCCTGACCTGTGACGCTCACCCCAATACTGCCATTAGCTCTAGAGAATCGACTGCTTCGTGGCTGAAAAGGAAGCTGGACTCAGGGAGGACAGAGATTCCTGGCTGGACAAAGAAAGGAGGCTGATAGCAACCACAGAGGGATATCGTGGGCGCACGTGAGACCTATTTGCACAGTTCAGCCATGCTCCACTGACAGCAGGACACCATCCACACATGTATGCCCCCCACACACGTGTTCTACACACAAGGGCAGAATCCCACCTGCCTCCTAACAAAGTTTCACCTCCACCTTCTCCCTTACATTAAAAGAGACACAGTCACAGAGACAGATTCTTGAGTCTCTGGAATGAAGAAAACAGGAGTAACCACAATGACATGTCGCTTCACACTCAACAGCCCGGCTGGGGTTAAAACAACAGACAGCTCCAAGAGCAGGCAGGGAAGCAGAGCAAACATGCAGGAGCGTGAGACGGAGGGACCATTCTAGAAAAGGGCCAGGCGCTTCCTTCTCGAGCTGAGCACACATTTGGCCCTAGCCCAGCTCTTTCACCCCTGAGCAGGTGTCCGAGGGCTTCACAGGGACATTCTGAGAAGAGGCGTCTGTAACAGTCCAAACCTGAATCAACACAAGTGCTGTGACAAGAGGTGGATGACCAAACTGTGCATTCAGTTTGTGGAAAACTGTCCCGTGATTAGAAAAGGGGTCCACTGATCCAGCACCAGCAAGAAAGGAACAGCCCCTGCAATCCCAGAGGTATGCGGTTCAAATCTACCAGATGTTCTGCTGGAGAAGGAGGAACAATCTCCTTATGTACCTGTGAGATCCGATTTGACAGTACACACACACAAAAAAAGAATAATAAAATAAGATAAAAGGAGCAGCCCACCAAGCCAGCAGAGGCACAAAAGGACGTCTGAAGGATCAGCAAGGGAACTCTGGTGGGTTGGTGGTTAGGAGTTGTCCTGCCAACCCAGAGTTGTGCAGTTCAAATCCACCAGCTGCTCCATGAGAGAAAGATAGGCAACTTCCTCTCATACAATTTACTGTGTCTGGGAATCTGCTGGAAGGTGAGCTATGTGTCGGTTCTGACTCAGAGGTACACAGAAAGGAACGGTCTCAGGACCCAGCGCCAACACCGACGAGTCTCCACACATTATGTTGTGTGGAAGTCTTGCCAGTAAGACACTGTGCTCCTCAGAACAAAAAGAACCTGGTTACACCAGGAAAAATGCGAAACCCCTATTGCCCCTCACAAGGCAAGGGGTATGAGGGAACTTTGGGGGTGATGATAAAGTACTCTGTCTTGACAAGGGCTTGGGTAACATTAAAGCAAAAAAAAAAAAGGATTCCAACTCATGATAGCCTCCTGCCCCGGCCATCGTGGTACCTGTATAAGGAGCAGCTGCAGTATGGAGAAGGCAGAGGCTGCCTTGTACCTGCTTCATAAAGGGGAACTGTCCCCCATCAATAACATCCACAGTACTAAACAAACAGCTGCATGGTCAGACATGTCACCCCACAAACTTCTGCACCTGTTTCTACCAATCATTGGGTTCAAAGTTCATTACAAACTGACTCACAGACATTACTCACAGTTGCGAGGTTTATTAGGAAAACAGGGTGTGGCAGGAAGTGCGGTGAGGCAAAGAACATCACACAATACAAGTCCAGGTTTAATACAGCAGTCCCAAGCCAGAGTAACAAGGCATAACTCCTCAATTAGTGAAAAATCCGGGTTCAGTTCAGCACAGATGCACCTCGGGTTTCCTCAATCATCCAGCAAACAAACCCTTTAACTGTGGCTCCTTCTCCAGGATTCCACTTGTTGCACCTTGCCACAGTCTCTTCTGGCTCTCTCCACCACTGCCTTTCACAGTATGGAAAGCTCTTACATTGGTCCCACAGCTGTTGATGATTTGAAATATCACATAACCTCAGTGAAGGCAGCTGGAGACCATGCCCTCAGTGGGAGCTGACACAATGGAGAGAAAAGCCAATTTTCAAGGTTTCTGACACCACAGTATCAGAAGTCCTGTGTGTCAGAGGAGAACTGGCCTCTACATGGTTCTCATGGGCTGACTTTTCAGGAGCAGATCACCAGGACTTTCTTCTGCAGTCCTCCTGGTGCACCTGAACTGCCACCCTCTCACTTGGCTTATGCCACAGGTGCCTGAATTTATTAAAGCTCAAAGACACTTGAGGTTTATGTAAAGAAATTAGTTCTTATCCAAAAGGTCTGTGGTTCAAACCCACCAGACACTTCAAAGGAGTAAGATAAGGCATCTGCTTACATACAGAGTTACAACGTGGGAAGCCCTCTAGGCAGTTCTGCTCTGTACTGTCGGGTCACTGTGGGTCAGAACTGACTTAACGGCAGTGGTTTTTAATTGGAAAAAAACCTTTACATTAAAAGGAAAAAAAACTGTACTCAGTTAATGACATTGATGGGTAGGGGGAGATTTTCCCCTGACATGGAAATGTAACAAGAAGTCTAGAGGGATGGGTGGAGGGAGGGATGGGTATATAATAAAGAAAAAGCAATAAAGTGTCATTGGCAAAATCGAGATTGATACAAAAGTATTCCAAGAGCAGGTTCAGCTTTACTTCAGGTTTAATACTTTCATAATAAAATGTTGGAGTTTAGTGGAAAAAAAAATTCATCAGCATTAAAATAAAAAATGACCTGGCATGTCCAGGCACAGGGGCGCTGGCTGGAAGCACAGCTGAGGATAAGGAGTGCCGGCTGGTGAGCACTTGCGTTCTCAGGCCCGTGTGTTGGATTCAAGGACTGAAGCGGCCTGTTCCCTCCAGCCCACCCTCCCTGCCTGGCCCTCCGTGCCCCACGCTTGCCCGTTTCCCTGGGGAATTTCCTCTTGGCCTGGTGTCCCTCTCTCATCTAGGACTGAGCCTGAACGGCGTTGGCAGGAAGCCTGGTTCCTGCGGAAGGAAAGACTGAGAGGCATGATTTCCAAAGGCTGGGTACTGCACCCTGAATCAGTGATGAGGCCAAGAAGTCCACACTTGGCTCCCCAAGAGCACCCCAACACAGAGCACCCCTGTGAGCACCCCTGCATAGAGCACTCCATGAGCACCTCAGCACTGAGCACCCTGTGAGCACCCCACTACAGAATACCCCATGAGTAGCGCAAAGCAGAGCACCCCATGAGCACTCCAGCATGGAGCACCCTATAAGCACCCCAACACTGAGCACTCTTGTGAGCACCCCAGTGCGGAACACCACAGGAGTACTCCAAAGCTGAGCACTCCGTGGGCACCCCAGCAGTGAGCACTCTGTGAGCACCTCAGTGCAGAACACCCCACCAGTACCCTAAAGCTGAGCACTCCATGAGCACCCCAGTGTGGAGCACCCAGCGGTGAGCACTCTGCCTGCGGGAGGAAAGCACGCGCCACCAGAGCTTCATGGAAATAAGACAGCGGGGCAGGAAGGAGGCTCCAAGCGTCTGAGTTCACAAGTGCTTTCCAAACACTCATAAGGCACGAGATTATAGACTCTCTACCCCCTCTGCTTTGTTCCAGAAAAACTCCACAAAGGGTCAAAGGGGCTCTTTCCCTGCATTCAGACTGAAATCAGGATGCAAACTCTGTTCCTACCCTCATCACAAGCGGCACCAGCGAGCTGAGCAGGCCTTTCACCAGGATTTTACCAGGATTGTTCAAGGCAAGAGTGCTGCCAGCACAAGACAGCGACAGAACTCAGCCCAGCCTCCCCGTCAGGACTCAGCCAGTCTCCCCATCAGGACTCAGCCAGGATTCACTCCCACCTGCTCTCCTGTTGAGTCTCCTTCTCACTCTCTCCCCATTTGTTCATCGTCTCACTCTTGTTCTCAGGCACACACGTGCACTCTCTCTCTCTCACTAGCGACCTTCTTTTACTCTTTTCTCTCTGTCTCAGGAAGCTCTGGTGGCCTGGAGGGTAAGGAGTTGTCCTGATAAATCCAAAGACAGAAGGTTGGTTGGGTTTTTTTTAATTTTTTAAAACTTTTTTATTATTTTTTGTGTGTACCATCAAATCAGATCTAACTGGTACAGGAGGAGATTGTCTCGCCTTCTCCAGTAGAGCATCTGGTGGATTCAAACCGTGTCCCTCTGGAATTGCAGTGCAGCTTCTTGCCACTAGGCCCCCAGAGCTTCCTAAGATAGGAGGTTTGAATCCACTAGCAGCTCTGTAGTTGAAAGACGGGTATCACCTCCGAGCAATTTGCAGCCTCTGAAACCCACTGGAGGGTCAGCTGTGGGTCCGGGTGAGAGTCTGAGCTTCCTGTCTGTTTTCTGTCATCTCTCTCACTGTACCTCCCTCTGTGTGTGTGTCTGTCACTGTCTCTGCACCACTGGACACCCCTCAAGTGTCAGTGGAGGAGACATGTGTGAGTCCTGGCTCACCCAGGGGAGAACCGAGCCCCCGCCCCCCCCCCAGCCCGGGAGAGGTCCGGGTGGAAGGCCTACCATCGTGGATGAGCAGGTGTGGCCTCAGGCCTCGCGCCTTCAGGACCTGGCAGGCAGCCGGGGCGGGGGCGGTCACCTCGCTCTCAGCCATGTCGAAGCCCAGTCTCCGTAGCAGCGCCACCAACTCCCCACGTGACTTCTGTGACTCGTTGGTGCAAAAGCGAACCTTCAGATGGGACCGCTTCAGCCTGTGGGTGGACAGGGTGGACTGTGGGAAACTGTGGGTGCTTGGCCTCCACTCAGGGACACAGGGACACAGGGGGCTGGACAGGAAACGAGGGTCACCGCCACCTGACCAAGGTGAGAGGGGGGTTCAACAGACACCAACAGCCTGCGGGCCAGGAGGGCTGCAGTCAGTCACCGCAGCATTGGGGAGAGGTAGTGGGTCCCTTCCGGAGCACAATGACACCGCACCTAGCCTGTCCACCCATCGCTCCCATTCCGTCCTTCCCACAGTGCTGACCACCACTGCCAGCCTCCACAGTGTATGTATGAGGCCCAGGGTCAGCTCGGTTCCACTTCACACACCCAGGGCTTCACCGTGACTCGGAACTCCTGTTCTCCTACCGGAGTCGGAGCATGGACCCTGCCCCAGGGCTTCACTCTGACTCTGGACTCCTGTTCTCCTAATGGAGCGTGGACCCTGCCCCAGGGCGCCCAGAGGCTACAGCCCCAGTGGAGGTGACAGTGATGTCCACTGAGCAGACACACACGTCATGCCGTCCCAGCCCTGCTGAGCCCTGGAGCTGATGGGAGACAGTGCAGCCAGGGAGCAGCCTGCATCCATCCCCTCCTTTCTTGTGATCTGTCTTTCCTAATCAGAGGCTTATGGATGATCAATTACACTTAGTGGTTAATTGCCCTTCACAAAGATTGCTTTTTTATTTCTGAATGAGGCAGTTAATATATTGTAACTAATGGCATCCCCTCATACCTCACAGACAGATCTTCGATGATTGGCGGCCGGGGTGGGGGATTCGCACCCAGGTTAATGGAGCAGCTGAGTGAAGAAATGCTGGGGCCCCCAGGGACTAATTACTGCTAATGAATCGTGATGTGACCTTCTCAGAACAGTGAGCAATCGGTGTGATGGGAGACGGTGCCTCACATCTGCCACTCCAAACTCAACTTCTGATGTGGATGGAAGGTGTCCCCAGGACTGCACACTTGGGGAGTAAACCATGGGGACCTTCTGAAACACCAACTCACATTATCCCCAGACAGACGCCTTTGAACTCAAAATGTCCATCTCAGAGAGGACGTGTGTTCGAAGGCGGGTCCTGTCCACCCGGGCCCGCAGCTACCCCCTCCTGACAGCTTTGCACCTCTAGATAAGAATGTCTGGGAAGGCCTCCATTTAACAAATCACGTATTATCCTTCTAATTAATAAAGCATCATAATAAGAGGAAAAAAGGTGTAAACAACCCAAGTGTCCATCACCAGATGAATGGATGGATTCACAAGACAGAAAGAGAAACAGAATTTTAAGGGCCAGTCCCTAGAGAAGGACATCATGCTTGAAAAAATAGGGTCATTGAAAGAGAGGAAGACCCCACCGAGATGGATGACAGAGGCTGTGCAGTGGCCCAGCGTGGCAGAAATCCTGAGGACGGCACTCGAGCGGGTAGGGCCTCCTTCCCTCACATGTGGGGTCGCTACAAGGTGGAGCTGGCACGGTGGCACCTAACAAGACAGCAACACAGTTCTGCAACAGGCTATGACAGGGGTGAACTTGGGAAACACGCTGAGAGAAGCTGCCATAAATGGACAGATTCTACACAATCCTACATGCAGGTAAAGGGGGAACAAACTTATCTCTCTCACTGGTGTCAAGTCAGAATGGACTTACAGCTATCCCTCCACAGGGATTCTGAGGCTGTAAACAGGATAGGAAGACACTGTGTATCTCTCTCCCAAGGAGCCACTGGCAGATCTGAACCGCCAGAAGTGGGTTAAAAGCACAACTCCATACAGACTAGACCCCTCAGAGCTCCCCAAACCAATTATATAGAGACCAGACAGCAAGTGATCGCCAGGGACTGAGAGAAGGCAGGATACGGAGTTTAATACTAACACTGAGAGACTACAAAAAAATAATAATCACACCAAAAAAATCAGACAAGTGGCTTTCACTGAGCTTATGAAGCAAAGGCCATTATTCCCATTTAACAGGTGAGAAAATGGAGGCTCCTGGAGGCGGAAACCTGAACAGAATCTGTAAGCCCTGCATGCCCCTCTCGATGGTGTGGGCACCTCCTCCACGCACTGAGCCAGTGAAAGGGCCAATGCTCCTGAGGCCTCTGAGACGCTCAGAGGGAACCCTCCCCTTGAACAAGGGCCCCAAGGCCCCAGAACCCCAGCAGCCGCACTCCAGGACATACCTGGCAGGTAAACTCAAGCCCCACAGGTGGAGAGGGGTGTGCTGTGGGGAGTTAGCTGGATGAGATGATGAGTCCATCAACAACACCCCAAGTGGCCAAAGACCCCAAGTCAGTGTTTCTCAGTGACACCTTGCTGGACACTTGGGCCTCAGCCATGTGAAGCTGAGACACACAGGGCCGGGACTATCAGGGCCCTGTCACAGTCCACCAAGGATAGGTAAGGAGAGCAAGCCCAGGGATCCCCACCTCAGGCCCCACCCAGTTCTTAACCCAGGAGAAGGGGGTTCCCAGGAGCCCACGGGGTGGGATCTGACCACTGCTGCAGCCGCCTCAGCTTTGTGAACTGACCTTTACCTCGTCCCTGCAGTCAGGACGCGCATCTGAGTGACAGCACTGCCTGGTGCGATCACTGTGCGTCCCCCTACAAATCACCCCGACTTCACACATCTGCTGGCTGTCGGCGTCTGCCAGGAGCGCTCACCCGAAAATAATGGAAACCCTCTCATTACTGCTCCATAACAGGTAACTCAGAGGACAATTACTGGACACCCTGCACGACCTTGCACAGCTCCCAGCTCGCCCTCTGGGACTGGCCGAGGGCGCCCTGCTGGAAAGAGCCAGGGGCTCTCGGTGGGGGGCTGCCGGTAGCAAGGCCTCTCCCTGGGCACGAAGTGACCTCCCATGCTGGTCTCGCTGGGTACTCGATTTGGTCGGCAGACCAGCAGGTGTACACGTCTCCATTTGAAACATCTAACTGGCCAGTGGCTGGTCAGCCAGGCCATGGTACCATGAGGAGGTCACTCAGGCCCATGGCACACTGCTAAGCGCTCTGTAATGACCAATGTCCAGTCAGCTGGATCCTGGTTCCAGGACAAGGTTGCTGAGGCCCACAGCACTTCTTGGAGTTCTCAACTGACCAGCGACCAGTCAGCTGGACCCTGGTGCAGGGCAAGACCCCTTAGGCCTGCGTACCTCCTAGGAGCTCCTAACTGACCACCATCCACTCAGCTGGACTTCTGTTACCAACACAAGGCCACATGGGCCCTCTTCACTGTTGGAACACCTAATTGATCTGTGTCCTGATGCCAGCGCCAAAATCACTTGGGCCCATGTCACTGCTGGGAATGCCTAACTGACCACTGGCCCTGCCACCTGGACAAGGTCACTCAGCCATAGTCAGCACTCTCCCTGCACCACCACAGTCCCCAGCTGGTGTTCTAAAACCTGGCAGAGTCCTTGGTCCCTGTGGCCCCCGCCCCAGGCTCCTTCTCCTCACTGGCCTCATCTGGGGACTACTCTGGAGGGGAGATGGAGAGGACAGGAGGAGCCAGGAGACCAGGAGGGCAAGGACTCCAGCCCCCCTCCCACTCCTCATCCAGGGGAGGAGGAGACCTCAGCCCAGAGAGTTCCTGGGTGAAGGGTGAGGCCCCAGGCTGCTTCGGTCAAGGTTTCAAGGGCCAAGAAGCTGGAGAACACAGGGAACTAGTGATTCCTCCAGGACGACAGGAAGGCTGGCCGGGCAATGTTTACATCAGGAAAGGCGGGCACAGGCCCGGCCAGCTTCCTTCCATCCTTGGGTCCATCAGCAGACCCTGCTGGTCTTTGGCGGCAGCTCCGGCTGTGCCCACACCTTCCTCATTGCACTGCAACCCCGAGACCTCTGGCCAGGCTGACCATCAATCAGCCTGTGGCACTGCCCCAGGAGACCCCCAGTCTGACACTCTGCTGGGGGGATACACAAGGTGTGTCGTCAACATCCACTGTGTGGTTGGAGAGGAGCAGGGGTGCACGTGGCCATCCAGCTGAGCCTCTCTGTCCAGCCACAGGCTGGTGACCTCAGGGCGACGGTGAGGTCAGACCTCAGCAGGACCAGAGCCAGGGCCCTTATGAAACCCCGACACACCTCCTTCAGTCACTGTTCTCAGCTGGCCTGGACCCCGAGGTTCAGCCCAAAGCCCAAACAATGACGTAAGGATCAAAGCACTCAGAGGCCAGCACGTGGGAGCCCGCGAGCCAGGAGACCCTGAATGTGCTCATTTCATAGGGACCACTGAGGTTGGGTAAGCAAGGTGTCCACGCTTAGGGACCCAGCTTAGTGTCCTTGCGGACACGGGCTTCTCTCCTCTCAGAGCACCGTGGTGCGCAGAGGCAAGGCCCAAGGGGTGGGGTCACGGGGAGACGGGCACAGCAAGTACACCTGGGCCACCTCCTCACCACGTGACCCTTTGCAACCTCAGGTCCCCTCACTGGAAAATGGGAGACCATTAGGAGCTGATGGCACACAACAACAATAACAACAACAACAACAACAACAACAACAAAAGTAGCTGAAGGAAAGCGGGTGGCACAGTATGTAGCGTGTTGTGCTGTTAACCAAAAGGTCAGCAGTTTGAATCCACCAGCAGATCAGGAGAAAGGCGGGTGGTCTCCTGATGATGTGCAGCCTTGGGGACTTGCTGGAGGGTCTCCACAGTCAGCGTCACCACGACAGGGGCAGTTTCAGTAGCAGCTGAACAGAAGCCTGGGTGGCACAGTGGAGGGCTTGGCCACTAACCAGAAGGTCAGAGGTCGGACCAACCAGCTGCTGGAAGCTAGTGAGGCAGTGTGCCCCCTCGGACATTATAAGCTTGGGAACCCCATGGGGCAGCGCTGCTTGGTCCTTCAGGGCCGTGAGGAGCTGGACCTGACTCAACAGTTAAGGGCTCGGTTAGCTGCTTCTTCAGAGGCTGAGAGGACGGGGACGGCATCTACATGGGGGTGGTGACAGCCCTGACCAGTCCAATGGTGGGGATCCCGGTCCGTGAGG